AGGCCGAGTTAGCTTGCTGCAAGCTAACTGGCTTGACCCCACACCGTGCTGCCTCATGGACGACTTAGTCCGCCCACTCCTGGGCACACGGCTTTGGCTGCCCCGCCACCTCCAGGCTTAGCAGCCTCCTACTCTCTACCTTGATCTTATTTGAAGATACCTGGTGTCTGTTTCACCTTCCCTAAAGGTCGACGTCCGTTTACTGACTTGCCCCACTAAGTCTGGATAGACACACCTGGTGGGCAGTTACAACTGACCTGCTCAGTCCAATCTCTCCCATAGTGACAGAGCCCGGGTGGGGTGGGGGAATGTCACACATATCTGCTCAGGGGAAAGGCCTGATCATGCCCAACCGGAGGCCCTCAGTGCCACTGATGCCTGCTAGCCATAGCAAACCTCTCACCCAACCCTGCATTCCTGGGCTGACCTTTCCTCCTCTTCTTGCATTAACCCCTTCTGGTAAGAACTTTGTACATGCTCAGAGTCAAGTGCAGTCGTTTCTTAACAGATGCCATTTAGGAGAGACGTGTCAAATGGATCTGTTGTTTGAGGGAAAGATGGAATAATTTCTATAGTCATAGAAGGAATCAGAGGTTAGAGTTCATTTTAAAAGTGTATTTCCCAGGAAAACATACTTCACTGTGACTCTATTGATATTGCAGAGTGATTTTATGCTGTGGTTAGCTCTGTTATTTATGTAGCCTCTGGACACATGTTACAAACAGGCCCTCAGGAGTCACAGGGATGTAGGTTTGAACCCTGGTGCTACCATTCACTAGTTCTGAAATAAACAAGCTACTTCATTCATCAGGCCCGTTTTCTCTTCTCTTCTCTTTCCTTTTCTTGTCTTTTCTTTTTTTCTTTTTTTTTTTTTTTTTTGACAGGCAGAGTTAGAGAGAGAGACAGAGAGAAAGGTCTTCCTTCCGTTGGTTCACCCCCTAAATGGCTGCTATGGCCGGCCGGCGCACTGCGCCGATCTGAAGCCAGGAGCCAGGTGCTTCCTCCTGGTCTACCATGGGGTGCAGGGCCCAAGCACTTGGGCCATCCTCCACTGCCTTCCTGGGCCACAGCAGAGAGCTGGACTGGAAGAGGAGCAACCGGGACAGAACCCGGCGCCCCATCCGGGACTAGAACCCAGGGTACCAGCGCCGCCGGCGGAGCATTAGCCTAGTGAGCTGTGGCACCAGCCCAGGCCTGTTTTCTAACTAGGAAAAAAGGTACAGCATCACCTACCTTCTAGGGGTTGAAGTGAAGATTAAATGGAAGAATGCAACCAAGACTCTTAGCATAATGCCTCGCACACAGTGAGTGTTCAATTATTATATGCTCTTATTAACACAGAAGTCATTTGGTGGGGTTCTTGCGGATTCCAAGGACACAATGGATTACACAAGAAGTGCCCCTTCTGGTGCAAAGTGTATTTTGCAGCAGGCTTGACGGGATGCCAAGACACCATCAGTAACACATTGAAAACCAAAATTTCATAATGTATTTATTTTTCAGTTTCCTAGGAAATACTCTGTAACACCCAGAACCCAGCTTTCAAACTCCCTGGCTGTGCAGATGGTAAAGCTCCATAAATGCTATAAATACCCCCCATTCTGTGTACATGTGCAACATAGTACTGCTGCATCGTTATCCAACGGCAAGAAAACCCCAGGGTCTGAGGAGGGTTTCCAATATTTGTGCATTGCTATGGATACTGCATAGGAAAGGCAGATGTCAATAACATGAACAGGATGTGGGGGTCTGAGGCAGCTAACGATGACAGAAACTATTCTCATTCTGAATGCATCATTCTTGGACAGCATCTGTAGAATATTTGGGAGCTGAGAGTATTACTTTGGATGTCTCATGCAACACTGCAGCTTGGTGAAACAGCAAGGGGTCTGGGACCTAGGTCTGCCACCACTACACTGGTGACTGCTATCCTTAATGTCCTCCGATCATCTCCCAGAGTAAAACGAGGCGGGGTGTGTGTGTGTGTGTGTGTTTCTGCAGTCTCTCTCAGTATTCTAAAGTGAACAGCAAACATGATATCATCTCAAATCCTGTGGAGTCTAATGCATTTCTAGTTACGTTGAGTGAAATAAAGCAAGCTTTTTAAGGCATCCAAGTTGAGCTCCGCAGTTGGCCAGACTGGGCCTTTCTCTCCCCCGGTAATGACTTGTCATGTTTACAAACCCGTGTAGATTTCAGTTGGCTCTCCACACTGTTTTGGATTCAGATTTTTTCCTCCTAAAAGAGCAACATGGAATGTAGGCAACCCAATGCTTGCTGGCAAACTGTCAAGAATTAAGTGAAAATTGGCTTAAGTCACCGAGCCGACTTGATGTCCTCAGAGCTCCTCTCGTGAGGCCAATCCACCTACTGCCCTTGGGGAATCAACCACGATATCTGATGTTCGGCACTGGGACAGGGCCAAGGCCAGGCCCTTGCCTACCAGGATACTTCAAAAAGCTTATAGAAAAGTGGAATTAGGGGCTAGCACCATTGCGCTGTGGGCTAAGCCACCACCTGTGATCTGGCATTCCATGAGAGTGCTAGTTCCAGTCCTCACTGCTCTACTCCCAGTCCAGCTCCCTGCTAATGCACCTGGTAAAACAGACTAAGATGACCCAAGTGCCTGGGCTCTTGCTACCCATGTGGGAGACTGGATGGAGTTCCAGGCTCCTGTGAACCCCACTAGTGTGTCCCTGTTTGAGGCCCATCCACTAGTCCAGAGATTTTCACCTCTAAACCCTGAAGGAAAAATAATAATACAATCCACATTTGGGCTGGGAGCCTGGTGCAGCAAATGCCTGAGGGCTGCCTATTTGTTTCTATAAACTACATCCCATCCCCAGTGGGGTTTTATGTTGCTAACACTCACGCACATGGCCTGTGCTGTCGCTAACCTGGTGCAAGGATCAGGTTGCAACTCGAAGCTTCTATTTCTTCAGGTCCATCGCAGGAGCGGGGGAGTCCTCCACCTGAGCTAGTCAGTCATCTTTGGCAGGAACTCCCTTCATGTCTCTAACTCTCTAGCTGTAAAATGGGGACAATGGTTGCCTTAAAAAACTGTGGGCTTTGGATATTTTATTATCAGTGTTTAGAACAATGATGCTGAGCCATTTCTATGTCTTCTTTTCAGAAATGTCTATCCAGGTCCTTTGACCGTTAGTAACTGGCGCATGCTTTGTTTCTATGAATTGTATAGTTCCCTGCATATTTTGGATATTATCAGATGTATGCTTTGCAAAAATTTTTCTCCCATTCTGTAGGTTTTTCTCTTTGCTCTGTTAATCATTTTCTTGGCTGTGCTGAAGCTTTTCAGTTTGTCTATTTTATCTTTTGTTGCCTGGACTTTTGGGATTAGAGCCATAAAACCATCACCCAGATTAACGTTATAGAACTTGCCCCCTCTATTTTCCTCTAGTAATTGAGATCTTAGATTTAAGTCTTCAATGCATTTTTATTTTTGCAAATGGCATGTGGCAAGGGACCAATTTCATCCTTCAGCATGTGGACATCCATTTCTTCTCAGCAGCATTGAGTGAAGAGACTGTCCTTTCCTGTGTGTTCCTGGCCTCTCTGTCGATGATCCATTGACTGCTAAATGTCCAGGTTTATTTCTGGGCTGTTTTCTTCTGTTCCACTGTTTTATACCTCAACTGCAGGCTCCCTAACTTCTCTGCAGTTTTCGGACTCTCAGTGTAAAGACATAAAGGGCCTCTGAAAAGCAAGCTGTTTGCTAAAACAAAAACTTCACCTATCTGGAACACGACCTCTTAAACTCAAGGCTGTTAACACTGTGGCTGATCAAACATGTTTAGACTTGAGCTCTATTGAGTCATAGCATATTGAATGTAGGAAATACTGTTAGTTTATAAATCGGGCCTGTTAGTAAATTGTGAAGTAATTTGTTTTGTTTTGGTCCTTTTTTCTATTTTTCCGAAGTATGCACGCTCTGAAAATCTTTAGGGTGGGGAAGAAAACAATTTAGTCCATTTGCCTTCCAAGTCGAATCCAGTAAGATGCCTCTGATTTTTTTCTCAGACTCAAAGCTGTTTTTTTTTTTTTATTTTTCTCATATCATTGCTAAGACTACAACATAAAGATGCCTCCATTTTTATTTTTTCCTTCACAGACATCAAAGCTCCTGGGCTGCAAGGGAGGGAGCATCCCAAGGCCCAGAATAGGCCTCTTCCTGTGTGATGCTGCGTAAGTGACCTCCCCTCACTGTGAGGCTGTGGATGGGTCTATGACCTGAACAGCCAGCACCATCTGCTAAGACCCCACCATAGTAAAATCCCACATAAGATGGCATGATTTTATACTTCTGGCACTGAAAGAAAATGCCAGAACATTCTTCACTTGCTGCAGAGTTTCTATCAAATGCTGAATGAAATGAAAACAAGAGGAAGTCCTATAATTCAAATACACTGGTGTCCACCCCAGTGCCTCAGTGTGTGTGCAAGAGTTAAGTGGGCCTCTGGCCGGCGCCACGGGTCACTAGGCTAATCCTCTGCCTTGCAGCGCCAGCACACCAGGTTCTAGTCCCGGTTGGGGTGCCGGATTCTGTCCCGGTTGCCCCTCTTCCAGGCCAGCTCTCTGCTGTGGCCCAGGAGTGCAGTGGAGGATGACCAAGTGCTTGGGCCCTGTACCCCATGGGAGACCAGGATAAGTACCTGGCTCCTGCCATCGGATCAGCGTGATGCGCCGGCCACAGCACACCGGCCGTGGCGGCCATTGGAGGGTGAACCAACAGCAAAGGAAGACCTTTCTCTCTGTCTCTCTCTCTGTCACTGTCCACTCTGCCTGTCAAAACAAACAAACAAACAAAAAAGTGGGCCTCTATAAACCTAAGAGGGATATACCCCGAAACCACAGCATTCTGCATTTCTCTGTCAGTGAAAAACTGATATTTGAACCGTACAAACAGCCCCATAAAGTCTATTTGAGACAGAATCAAATATGTGATAATATATCAAAACTGAGAAACACAAAAAAGCACTTGGTTGAAGAGATAACTCACAGCATTTTATTTAAATTAATCCATTTCTTTCAATAACCTGATAGCACGGTCCCCAGCACCACCAATATTAGTCATTATTATTTCTCTTTGGAAAGGACTTCTTAAAAACTGGGTTTGATTTCCATGATGCTTAACTCCATGGTCAAAAATGGGGTTCCTTAGTGAAAAGCAACTCATAATCACAAGAGAACTAGAGAAAAACTTTAAGACAAATACCACCAGAAACAATTCATAGTCCATATTCTTTTTTCTTTAAAAGAGCAAGCAAGACAGCAATCTTCCATCCACTGGTTCACTCTTCAAATAACCACAGTGGCTGGGGCGGGGCCAAGCTGAAGCCAGGCCCAGAACTTCTTTTGGGTCTCCCACGAGGCTGCAGGCCAAGGACTTGGGCCATCCACTGCTGCTTTCCCAGGCACATTATTAGCAGAGAGCTGGATCAGAAACGGAGCAGTTGGGTCTGGAACCAGTGCCCATGTGTGATGTGGAGGTTTAACGTGCTATGCAACAGGGTTGGTGGCCCCAGTCCATAATCTTTTATATTGTGGTTTCAATTGGAAGCTCTCTTTTGGGGGAGGTAGTTGTTTCTCATAAATGTGTGCTTAATACAAATAACTTGCCCCCTCCCCATATTATGGAAGGGGTATGAAGACTAGTCCAAAGAGAACAAGTAAGCCATCCTCTAGGGAAGGAGGCCTAATGGCTCCTAATGGTGACAGAGTCATCCCACCAGTCAACAGTAGTAAGATATATCCACCAGAACGGAAGACACTAACTTGATGGATAAACCATGAGCTAGACTCTTCAGAGCTGGAGGAAGACACTTGGAGTCTGGAGACAGTGATGGAGAACATGAAAGCATGAAAAAGAGACAGGTTTCCCACCGGGAGTCTCACCAAGAGGTGACACAGTCAGCCAAAGGTCTTGCGGCTGTCTTTTGAGAGGACAGTGTATGCAATGAGTCCTGTAGTTTTCACATAAAAATTGGAATGATAATGAACGAGTAGAAAGTGAAGTCAGCAATCAACACTGGTCAAACAACTCCGTGCACGGCAGGGGGACAGGTAAGGTGGGGGAAGCAGAGCTAAGCTGCACCCTGAGCTGGAGCAGCAATCAACCCCTGCGAGCCACAGGGCACCGTGTCCTGGGGTCCAGTGTAGGGAAAGGACACTTCGGTCAGCAGCAGGGAAGGCCACCAGCCCTGATTCTCAGCGTGCCTCTATGTGATCACTCAGTCTGACCGTTCCAACTTCCTTATTTTTCTCTGTAATTTGAGAAACAGAAGTTTGAAAGGGTAAGATTCTACCTTAGAGGTGCCTAACAAATGTATAAGGAACTGATGTATTGTAGAAGTGTCCCTACATCTTGGTCCAGAAAGATGGAGAGAATTTAAGGGAAGGAGAGCTAACATGGTGGTAGTGCGGCCAAGATGTTTTAACAAGAAGGAAAGGAGCAAAGAAAAACCAACAAGCAAATCTAGCAAGCGTGTGTCTCAGCCCAGATGACAGCAGAGCCCACAGCGCCAGAGGCCCTTAAGAAGGTGGGGGGGAAGCCCTCTTCTGTGCTGAGTCCGCAGAGCTGAAGGCTAAAATCTTTTCCTAGTTCCTTAATTTACTTGTAAACTTGTATTTACTTTTCCTATTTCCTTGTTAACTAACTGGTCTATTCAAGCTCAACCACAGCATATTATACGAAAAATGAGTAACTGCAGGGTCCTAGATAGCTTTGAGGGACACTTTTTACAAAATAGAAATATCATTGAGTGAAAATGGCAGTCCCCGTCACCCTGGAAAGGTGTCTGAATTAAGTAGAGGAAACTTCTGTATATTTGCTTTTAATTTTGTTTTTGGCGCTTTGGTCTGTAAGCAATCAAGATGGAAAGAGATGCTATCCCAAAGAAGAAAGTCTGTAGGAACCAGAGTAGCTGAGCCCGACCATTTGTGATTCCTTTATACCTAAAAAAAAAAAGTACAAAATATAAGCACCATAATTTTGATCTTATGGTTTCACAGGAAGCATTGTTTATTTATTTATTTATTTGACAGGCAGAGTGGACAGTGAGAGAGAGACAGAGAGAAAAGTCTTCCTTCCTCTGTTGGTTCACCCCCCAATGGCCGCTGCGGTGGGCGCACCGCACTGATCCGAAGCCAGGAGACAGGTGCTTCTCCCAGTCTCCCATGTGGGCGCAGGGCCCAAGCACTTGGGCCATCTTCCACTGCTTTCCCAGGCCAGAGCAGAGAGCTGGATGGGAAATGGAGGAGCCAGGACTCCTACCAGCACCCATATGAGACGCCGGCATTGCAGGTCTCGGAGGCTTTACCTGCTACACCACAGTGTCGTCCCTCAAGTAGCATCTTAACTGCAGGGCCAAGTGCCTGCCTTCAAGGTTATTTTAAAAACATGGCAGGGGAAAAAAAAAAAAAAAAAAAAACATGGCGGGGCCGGTGCTGTGTCCCTGCTGCTCCACTTCCCATCCAGGTCTCTGCTATGGCTGGGAAAGCAGTAGAAGATGGCCCAAGTGCTTGGGCCCGCACCCGCATGGGAGACACAGAAGAAGCTCCTGGTTCCTTTTTTTGGATCGGTACAGTACTGGCCATTGCAGCCAACTGGGGAGTGAACCAGAGGATGGAAACCCCCCCCCCTCTGTGTGTCTGCTTCTCTCTCTGTGCAACTCTTTCAAATAAACACAATAAATCTTTAAAAAGAAAAACAAAAAAATAAAAACATGGCGAAGTGCTTAAGTGTATGATTATGGCAGATATAAAGTCAAACATATACTCCAATCCTATCTCTGGTTAAAAGAAATTCAGAAAGGTATGTATTTTTAAAACATGGGATTTAAGAGACTATATTATAGCCTGATTGTGTCCGTGAGCTCCTGTTTAGGGTCTGGCACATGGAGGGTGCTTAGTAAATGTTAGTTTCCTGCCACCTCCAAGGTCATTTCTGTATCTACATACAGCGCAAAGTACTCTTTCCTACAGGATGATGACTGAATTAAAAATTACCAGGTATGAATTAAAAAAAAGGGAACTCAACAAAATACTACAAGTAGTTATTCCTGGGCAGTAGGATTTGGGAAGCTCCAAAGTTATACCATGTCTTCATGTATTCATGCATTCAAATTTATTTACACTTTCATTGATCTCACAAATCAAAAGGAGTATTAATTCTGATTGATAGTGAGCTATGGCACATTCTAACACGTTAGATCCTTAAAGCACTGATTTTAGGAACACAGTAAGAGAGACGCAACCTCCCTGGGCTTGTTCTCCTTCTCCCTTCAAAGAAGTGTACAACACAACACAGTCTTTTGGTTTTCATTAGAGGCTCCAAATGCCAGTCACAAGAGCTGTCAAGCTGCAGGGCTGGGCCAAACACGTGTCCTCAGCTAAGACCTCAGGGAGGCCCAAGAGGCCACTGGGAAGGAGTCTCAGAACACTTGGGCTTTCCTACCACAGTCTCAAGCCCAGAGAACAGTTTCAACAAAGCCACCTGGAAATCCCCTTGCACTCTGGCAAAGGGCGACTGTGTCACTCCAAAGCACAGAGATGGGTTCAGCCTGCCCGGAGGGAGAGCAAAGGAACAGGACTTCACGGAGGACCCCACTAGCAGACGGTCCCGGAGGGGAGAACAAATTGTCCAAAAGTACAAAGAATCTTTTTCAGTACTCTCACACAGTAGTCAGCTACAGTAGCATCTGCTGAGTAGGGTCTGTTTGGGGGCTTTAACTTGCATTTAGCTCCAGAATTACCTGCAGACCTTCAAGAAAGAACAGACTTGTAGGTCTGAAGCAAGACCTGCCAGATCAATTTTTCTGGTGGAAACCAGACATGTACAGTGAAACAGCTCCTCAGGTGGTTCACTGTGGCATCAAGATAGGAGATTACTGGCCTAGGAAAGTAACTCAGCTCTTTCGCACACTAGGAGGCAGACTCCTAATCGTTTGTTCTAGGTGCTGCTGTACAGACAATTAAAAAAAGTTTAAAAAAAAAAAAAACAAAATAACAGTCAGCCTAATGCACTAATGGAGTAAATAATAACTAACACAAACTAAATGGACTCACTCACCGAACATTTACTGAGTATTCCTGCGTCAGGCCCAGTATCAGGCATGGGTACTCCACACTACCTCAGAGTGCTCTCAGCCTAGGCGTGCATGACTTATTTAAATGTGGTGGCTCAGCTTCTACCAGATACCGCGAGAAAGGTGACCAGGACTTAAATAATGACTTACTTGCACAGCACCATGGCATACAAGGACTCTGCCACGTGAATCATCCAGGCAAACCAATACCTGAAACAACAACAACAAAGAGGTTAAGTTGCCCTTGGCACACCAGCATCCTACATTCAGGTGTATGATTCGAGTCTCGGTAACTCTGTTTCTGATTCAGCTTCTGGCCAATGCACACCCTGACAGACAGCAGGTGATGGCTCAAGTACTTGGATTCTTGCCATCACGTGGGAGACCTGAATGGAGTTTCTGGCTCTGCCTTTGGCCTAGTCCAACTCTGGCTGTTGTGGGCATCAGGGGGAGCGAAATCAGTGTATGGAAAATTTCTCTGTACCAAAGAAAAAGAAAATTTTTATAAGGATTTATTTATTTATTTGAAAGGCAGGGTTACAGAGAGGCAGAGGCTGAGAGAGAAAGAGCGAGGTAGAAGCCTTCCATGTGCTGGTTCACTCTCCAGATACCTACAATAGCTGAAACTGGGCCAATCACAAGCCAGGAGCCAGGAGCTTCTTCCAGGTCCCCCACATGGGTGTAGGCGCCCAAGCACTTGGCCATCTTCTGCTGCTTTCCCAGGCCATAGAAGAGAGCTGGATTGGAAGTACAGCAGCCGGGACTCGAACCGGCAACCATAAGGGATGCCGACACTGCAGGTGGCGGCTTTACCTGCTAATGCCGGCCCCAAACCTATTTCTACAAGTCAGTCTAGTTTAAGGGGGGGATTGTCTGATGATAAAATCTAACAGAAATCTGGAAAGATTCCTAAACGTGAACTAGCGCCATTCTTCACTACCTAAAGGCAACTGCAGGCCTTCAAGGTCTCCAGCGAGACCAGCGTGTCGTTTCTGCAGCTCTCCTTACCCGTTGTGCAGGAGGGTGTGATGATGGTCCACCAGGGACTGAGTGAACGAGCCCAGGAGCCCAAGGCTCTCATAAGGGATGCTCTGCGGCCAGAGGACAACCCACTGAAAGAGAACCAGAGGCACAGAGAAACCATTAGGGCACCTGAAGACCGGCAGGTAGGAAAGAACACCGATTCTACCAAAGTAACTACCGGGGAAAGAGGGTCTGAAGGAGGGCACCTGAATCTCCATCCTCTATTTCTAAAAAGCAGCTCCAATGGATGTGTGCCACAAAGAAACGAGGTGATGATCAGGCTCCGTGCACTGGCGGAACGGATCCGATTTTTCATGAATTCCACCCCAAACATTATTTCCTAGACTTGTAAGAGTCTGCGTGCTTTGGCCAGCTTCTGTCCTGCAAGCGGTGGCTTGAGCTCAATCTCGCAGTTAGAATCTTGCTCTTCCACTCTTGCACACCACGCAGACACACTCGGAAAATCAGGCTCGCGAAGGATTAACAGCAACTCCTCGTTCATGTAAGGTTTTTGTGGTGACCTTACCAACTCCTCCTCAGGCTCTGTTACAAGCCTTTCTGTGAATCACTGTCAACCCCTCCAAAGTTTAGTGCTCCACTTAGATCTGCACCAAAGGCAACACTACTCCCAGGATGCTGTTTAAAGTCAATATTCCAATAAAGTATAACATATCACTGCGGCCTCCTAACCACGCGGTGGAGAGGGGCTGGCATCTGCCAGTTCCACTAAATCCCAACTCGAATCTTCAGTTTCCCAGCTTGTGTGTTCGAACAGGGTCGCGGGATCCTGGCACAGAAAGGGCACTCGGGAAAACTAGAGTCCCACGCCTCCATCCTGCACAAGGTGAAAGGAGGGCGGAGGTGGTCAGAGCGACGCCGCTGTGGAAATGACACCCGTCCAGGTTCCAGGATCTCCCGGGAAAGATCCAAACTAGCTTCGCCTTCCTCCTACATGATACCGGTTTTCCCCAACCGGTTTCCGGGCGTCTTTCCCCTTCCTTATCCTGGAAGTGAGACGAAAGTCACTCCTCCCCGCAGTAGAGCTGTCCTCCTGCTGTCACACCGGTTCTTGCTCACCAGTGAAATCCTAGCCATCCCTTGGCTTTATCCGCCGTTTTCCAAGCAACTCCCCCTGCTTCAAACACTAAACCTTCTAAAACCCGGCTTAGCTTCCGCTGGCGTTCGTAACCTAGGCAACCGCACGGTGCGCATGCGCACCGACGCCGTTCCCACGGCGCCCCTCGCGCTAGGACAGCCCGGAGGGACAAAACACAGGCGCCCGCGTCCGCGCCCCGCGCCTCACCGCAAAGTATCCCAGCCCCAGCCCCGTGACCAGCGAGGGCAACGGTCTGGCCGTCCGGAAGTAGGCGGTAGCATCCCTTGCGGCCTTCGAGTTCGCCAGCACCATCGTGAAAGACCCAGGCGCTCAGTCCGCAGGTGGGGAGTCGTGCCCGCCCCCACCTGAGGAAAGTAGGCCAACCGGTTTCGCAGGGCCTCCAACACCTGCCAAAAGCCTTGGCAGCCGACTGCGCCTGCGCCTCCTTTCGGGTTCTGGCTTCCCTCCCCGCTGGGAGACGAGAGAGTGAGAACTGCGCCTGCGCGGCCGCTCCTCCAAAGGAGGCGGAGGCCTGGGTGACAGGAGCGCTCGCTCCAGGCGGTTGTCCCAACTCGGTTGCCCCTACCGTGTAGTAGCCAAAGGAGAGCGTGATGACCGCCAACCAGAACACACTGCCCCTCTGGAAGTAGGCCGCGTTGCCTGCCGCCATCGCTATCGCCATCGCCGCAGCTCCTTACTGGGGTGCGCGGCCGGCTCTGCTCCCAGTGCAGTGGACGCGGGGCCAGCAGGGGCGGGCCTGGGCGGCTGCTCCGCCCAACCCGCGAGGAGGGAGGAGGGCCCCGGGCTTGCCAAGCAAGGGGGTGGCCCGACCAGCCCCGTCTTGGCCTGGTCATTATCTGTAGGGGACACCCTTTCCAAGCGTCGCTCTCTGTAACGCTGTCTTTCCAATACATACATGTTTTTTAAAGAAAGATAAATAGGGGCCGGCGCTGGGTGCAGTGGGCTAGGCCACCACCTGTGGCCCTGGCATCCACATATTATAGGCATCCCTGAACTATGACCACTTGACCATGACGGATGTTTTTGATTGCTGTCAATTTTGATTTGTCAGTATATTAAAAATTTTCCATCTATGTTCATCAGAGATATTTGTCTGTAGTTTTTTGTTGTTGTGTTCTTGTCTGGCTTGAGTATCAGGGTAAGGCTGGCCTCCAGCAACGAGTTTAATTTTATGTAAGGTATACAAATTTCATGTATTTCATATATACAGATTTAGGAGCATAGTGATCCTTCCCACCCACGCTCCCATCCTTCTTCCTCCTCCCTCTCCTAGTCCCAATCTTAATTTTTTTTTTTTTTTTGACAGAGTGGACAGAGAGAAAGAGAGAAAGGTCTTCTTTTACCGTTGGTTCACCCTCCAATGGCCGCCATAGGTGGCACACCACGCTGATCCGATGGCAGGAGCCAGGTACTTCTCCTGGTCTCCCATGGGGTGCAGGGCCCAAGCACTTGTGCCATCTTCCACTGCACTCCCTGGCCACAGCAGAGAGCTGGCCTGGAAGAGGGGCAACTGGGACAGAATCCGGTGCCCTGACCGGTACTAGCACCCAGTGTGCCGGCGCACAAGCTGGAGGATTAGTCTAGTGAGCTGCGCCACCAGCCATCGAATCTTAATTTTTACAAAGATTTATTTTCAGTTTACTTTATACTCATTATCCCTACACTAAGTAAAGAGTTCAACAAACTGTAGAGACAAGGGCTGTAAACCATCATTGCATCTGAGTGTCAATTTCACTTCTATAGATTACCTTTTAGGTACTCTTATTTACCATAGGCAGAGTGACAGAGATGGGAGGAGGGAGAGAGAGAGAGACAGAGACAACCATTCCATGTTCTGGTACATTCCCCAAATGCTCACAACAGCTGGGATGGGGCCAGCACCAGGCTGAAGCCACAGTCAGGAAGACTCCATCTGAGTTTCCCGTGTGGAGAAGAGGAACCCAAGTACTTAGACCATCTGCTGCCTCCCAGGCACATTAGCAGGAAGCTGGGTTGGAAGCAGAGCAGCCAGGACTGGAACTCTCCTCTCCCACATGTAAATTCACACGTAGTGCAGCAGTAGAGGGCTGTCCAGTAGTGCCAGAGGAGTGTGATGAGATGTCTGCAGAGCAGGATGGGCATGTGCTGAGTCACAGCAAACACCCCACACTCTCCCAGTGTCATCGGATGGGGAGAACAACATGAAGAAAGCATCGTGCATCAGGAGAATTAGGGTAGTTTTTGGTTGCTAGAAGAAACAATGTGAAATTAAATTTTGTTGCTAGAAGAAACTGTGAAATTGTCCGCAGATCAAAACTCTTCTGATTCCATATTCCACTCAATGCAGGGCTGTCCCTGCCTTTCCAGACAAGAGGTTAATTACCCTGATTGGCAGGTGGGCACAGAGGTGTGGTCAGATAGGGGCATGAGGTCACTCGGGGTGGGGTGGAGGCCTGATCTTCCAGCTCACAAATGTGATCAATTTTTATTTATTTATCAATTTTATTTATTTATTTATTTGAAAGTCAGAGTTACACAGAGAGAGGAGAGGCAGAAAGAGAGAGAGAGCGAGCGAGCTTCCATTGCTGGTTTCACTCCCTAATTGGCCACAATGGCCATAGCTGTGCTGATCTGAAGCCAGGAGCCAGAATCTCCCCCAACACCCCACCCCCAGTCTCATCGGGTCCAGGGACCCAAGGACTCGCTCCATCCTCCACTGCCTTCCAAGGCCATAGTAGAGAGCTGGATCGGAAGTGGAGTAGCCAGTTCTGAAACTGGCGCCCATATGGGATACTGCACTCCAGGCCAGGTCCTTAGCCTACTGTGCTACAGCGCTGGCCCCAGGAGGTGGTATTGAGATGTGGGTGGGACCAGGGCGGTTTCTTGCCCAAGGGTGTAAAGCTCAAATCATTGTGATGACTGATGATGATGATGCTCAGTAGGTTTCCTGCAGGAATTGGGTATGGAGGACATTCGTTCATAACTGCTTCATGGTTAGGTGAGATGTGGCACAGAGTAAAAAAGTAATGTTGGCTGTTGTTCTTACTATTGTTGCAGTCTAGTGGATTAAGCATTGAGATGTCTGAGAAAGGGTCAAGCAGGTAGCTAAAGTTCGGTTTGGGAAAATGCACATTCATTGCTGGTGCCACGGCTCACTAGGCTAATCCTCTGCCTGTGGCGCTGGTACTCCAGGATCTAGTCCAGTTGGAGTGCCGGATTCTGTCCCAGTTGCTCCTCTTCCAGTCCAGCTCTCTGCTGTGGCCCGAGTAGAGAGTGGAGGATGGCCAGGAGAAGCGCCTGGCTCCTGGCTTTGGATCGGCGCAGTGCTCTGGCTGTAGTGGCCTTTGTAGGGTGAACCAATGGAAGGAAGACCTTTCTCTGTGTCCCTCTCTCACTGTCTAACTCTGCTTGTGAAAAAAAAAAAAAAAAAGAAAGAAAGAAAGAAAGAAAGAGAAAAAGATAAAGAAACTGCAATCTCATTAAGTGGGCATTTGACAGAAAATCATTAGGAAAACTCAGTGTGCTGGAAGTCAGTTTGATGAATCACCAGTTTACAGTTTACCGGATTCACCAAACTGATGGGCTGTGGCTTTAACATGTCAGGTCATGGAAAAAAATGCTACATTAAAAGAAAAAAAGATTTATTAGGGCCAGTGTTGTTCACTAGGTTAAGCTGCTGCTTGCAATACTAGCATCCCATATGGGCATCCATTTGTTTCCCAGTGGTGCCACTTATTGTTAAAGATGTATTTATTTATTTGAAAGGCAGAGAGGCAGAGGCAGAGAGGGAGAGAAAGAGAGGTCTTCCATCCGCTGGTCCTCTCCCCAGATGGCCACAACGGCTGGAACTCCGCTTCTGATCCAGCTCCCTGCTAATGTGCTTGGGAAAGCAGCAGAGGGTGATCCAGTTGCTTGGGCCCCTGTGTTGTACCTGAGTGAGTGTAAACAAAGGAGCACCACACATTGATAAAATTTGATGGTCCTTTATTGCCGGCGGTGGAGAGTGGGCTCATGCCCAAAAGAACTCTCGACCCTGAAGCCCAAAGCAACAGGGTTTATAAAGGCAAAAACTGCAAAATTGGGATGGGAATACATGGTTGCTAGGATCGGGGGGAATACATGGTTATGGGGGTCAAGCTGACCTAAAACTGATGCGAAACGAGTATCAATTATAATCTTGACAATGCCAGTTGCAATCTTAACAATTTCAATTATAATCTTGACATTAATCCAGGTATTCATTTTAATCATATGTAGGGCATAGACAAATTACATTTTTATCATTAACCCAGGTGCAGCCTATCCACTTCCAAGCTTGAGCGATCATGCTAGGGGGTTTCTATGCTCTGCCTAGTGTGATGTAGTGGACTGCTATTGTTCAACTGTTTTAGACCATAGTTTCAGAGCAGAGCCTCACGGTGT